TTTATTTATACATATATATATATATCGATCGAGTTTTACTAGAATATCATCCCAAAAAAATACTGAACCCTAACCTGCGAGGAGATGCAGCTGGACGTCAACAGTACCCTCTCCGGTGGTGAATTCCAGCGACTGCTCGTGGCGCATTGCCTGCTTGCGAGGCCGTCAGGGGTTTAGGGTTTAGGGGTTTAGATATCACGATTCGCACGATCAGGATTGCCAAGAAACATCGAGCAAGACTCCCTGAATTAAGATATTTTGGAGCGCTGACTGCTGCAGACTTTAGCCGCGATCGTATATCCCCCTGACCCAGTTGTTTGGGGTTTAGAGAAGAGGGGCGAAGAGTCCGCTAAGGTCTACTAGAGGCATGCAGCAACGAGTCGTGGATGTAAGTAAGGTGTAGTATCCAGTAGTAGAGTGTAGACACCCGAGGAACATCAGGAGGCTGGGTCTTTTTTTGGTCTTTCCTTGAAGATTCTTCGCCACGTCATTTTGTCAGCTAAGACCTAGACCCCTCCTTGGAGATTGCCAGGCCATCCTGGATTCTGCTGGACGAGCCCAGGTCTTTGTTTAGAGTTTAGGCGGGTTTGGGGTTCGTATCGAGGGGATCTGTCTGTCGAACCCTGAATCCAGAGCACCAGCTTTAAATCTCTGCAAACCTCAAGCCGACCTTACACCAGTCTTAGCTTAGAGGTTCAGGAGTACATCTCAGGCCTCTCCTCCACAGCCCAATCGAGGCCAGTCTGAGACAGCACACCGTTTCCGAGGAGTCTATGTCCCACATGTCCACTATTTGCCGCACTGATCTGTACAAACTGTTCGTGGACGACCTCGTGAAAGGTGGGACAGCAAAAGAGCCTCGCGTGGGGGGTTTAGAGTGTTTAAACGACTTGAGCTTACGGTGGCAGGGACGGTAATATAGGGGCCTAATCATTTGGGGCTGAAATCGCCTGGACTTGACAGATTGCCCATTGTCATTGTCAGCATTGTCCTTTCTAGTGTCATGATGGTTGCTACCCTGGCATTGAATGAGTTTTAGTCTATATATATATATAGCTACCAATAAGACTATGACAGACTTAGTTTTACATTCTGCTCTGGTGGTCCTGTCGGGCACCCCACACAGAATTACCCCCTTAACTCCTTATAATTAGCATCCCCCAACCCGCAGCCCGAAAGAGCTAAGCAGTCTATCCGAACCTAAACCGAAACACACCAAATATCATCAATCCTGACGAGAAGCCCTTAACCCTAAACCCTAAACCAAACCATCCGGGGTTCATCGGGTCTGGAAATGACCCGGTGTAAGGGCTTTTGTTTTAGCAGAGTTTGGCTGTAGGGTCTAGGTTTTTCACACAGGCTGCAGGGATTTCCGGCCTAGGAGTTTAGGTTGAAGCTGAAAGACGGTGGTTGCAGGCAGCGGCGCTGGAATCGTCAGCACCTGCCACAATTGGCAAGAGCTTGCTAGCTTCCACGACCGCTTCTACCGCATCGAGGATGACGGGTTGTTGAACAGAATCAGGTGCCTTGAGACCTTATACTAACCCGCGTCCCTATTCTAACGGAAGTTTTACAAACTCGAGCGACCGCAACTGGGCTTCAAGCCAACATTATCTCTTCGTGTTTCTCACATCTTCTCTGAGCTACTGTGTGATACCAGGAACGATAACCAGCACATGCGAATTTTAGGGTTTAGCTTGTGCATTGACTAGCACTGTGTATAAGACAAGTATATTGTGTGATACGAGGACTGAGTAGCTATAAAACAGTCCAGACGACGACATGAAGTCATGTAATGGTGAGTCAAGTCCAACTGTAAATTTATGTCAACGTTTTTATATTTTCCAATGTAATGGGATCCTAAACCCTCAACCCTGAACCCTAAACCCTGAACCCTAATTCTAAGGGTGGGCGGGTGTTATGTCTAAACCGTGAATGTAACTGTACTATAAAACTATTCGCTCCGGGGCTGCTGCTCCCTAAATCCTAAACCCTAACCCCTAATCCCTAAACCCTAACCCCTAGACCCGAACCCCTAATCCCTAAACCCTAATCCCGAAACCCTAAACCCTAATCCCGAAACCCTAAACCAAAAACCTTAAACAACTTTGCAGTTGCAGGAGAACGAGGCTGCTCGCTGCATCTCGTCTCTATCCGGCCTTGCACTCCCAAATCCGCTCGATGAGATGGCTAGGATATAGACTTAGAGTTTAGATGTTTGGGAGATGTTCAGGATTTACAGTTTCGATGTTTAGGGGTTAGGTGTTTAGGTGTTTAGGGTTTAGAGTTTGGGTGTTTAGGGCCTAGAGTTTAGATGCTTTGGGTTTAGAGTTTAGGTGTTCTGGGTTCGGGGTTGATGAAGTTCTTCCTTCCCTCACCAGGGGTGCCGGGTTCTGAGTTCAGCCCTAGCGTGGCGACTGTCTCAGTGTGTAGGGGTTTAGGGCCCAGGTTGTAGTCTTCAGGGTTTAGGGTTTAGGGTGAAGGCTGTAGAGACTTCAGAGTTCAGGGATGAGGGTGTAGGGTGTACGCTGAAGGGTTTAGGGTCTAGGCTTTAGGGTTCTCGAGCTTCTTGTATGTAGGCTTGTTTCAGCGTGCAACCCAAACCGAAAAAAATCGTGAACTCTGTGTCACCACCCACATCTCTCAACTTGGGCGGCCTTCAGGGTCGTTTTAGGGTTTGGGATTTTATGGTCACGCGCAGCAAAGGCGTAGTGCCATTCCAGCCGGACGGCAGCGGTGGCGGCAAGGAGGTCGTCTCGCCCTAGACCCCTTTAGAGTTTAGGGTTTAGGGTTTAGGGTTTAAGGTTTAGGGTTTAGGGTTTAGGGCCCCTAGACCCTAAACCCTAGACCCCGAAGCCCCAAAGTCGGGACACCAGACACCGAGAAACGGAGATCCTGAAACCCGGAAGCCCCCGCAAAAAGAGCTCAAAAGAGCTGCTGGTAGTAGATAGATAATCTTCCCCTATAGGTCCTCTTAAGTTATCTTATAGTAGTCTTCCCCTATGGGCCTTATGAGGTCCTTCTACAGGCCCAAGAGGTCCTTTTTAAGTTGTATCTTATAGCTGAAAGCAGCCGAGTTCAGGCCCCGTAGCCCCACTTTTGTAGATGTTATAGTTAAAAACCCAAAGGGTCCTAGGTACTGTTATGGGGGATACTTTCCCAAATCATACTATGAATTCCTAATACAGAGACCCAACATTCTACTATATAGGTCCTTTGGACCCTTTGGGAAAGGAGCTCGGTCCACACAGTTTGCTCAAAGCACACTTCGGTCAAAGCGTGGCGGGCAAAACTCAGGGACCCAAACCCTTTCCTGTACAAGTTCTTCTAGACACCCTAAACCCTAAACCCTTAAACCCTAAACCCTGAAACCCTAAACCCTCAACCCCTAAACCCTAAGCCCTAAACCCTTAAACCCTTAAACCCTTAAAGCCCTAAACCCTAAGCCCTAAACGTTAGTGGTCTGGCGGCCCCTTTGCTGCGAGCCTTTGGAGTTTAGAGTCTAGGGTGTTGGGTGTTACACGGGTTTCAGAGTTTAAGGGCTTTGCCTAGGCTGGGTCCTTGTTGGATACAGTTTTACATTGTTGTTATAACAAAACCCTAAGAAGGATTAAGAAGGATCATTCTTTTAATATGGCCCCAACACAGAACCAGTAGGGGTTCCAGGAAGGTTTAGGCATTTCGGCTCAGGGTTTGGAGAGCTCCCGTGGTTTTTTGAGGCCTCTAAGAGGGTTCAGACGACAAGCCTACATGGCTAGTTCTCTAGGTCATCCTTATAAGGATGCCGTACTTTATTTGGCAGCAAAAAAAGGAACCTAATTTTTAGAGAATTAGCCACATCTTTTCGGGACTTCGAGCGTTGTGAGGACATCGTGTGAGGCTCGTTTGAGGCTGATCGTCTGCGGGGTGTCATCCATGATCCCACCTCTGAAATCCTGGCAGTGTCAGCATCTGCACGGAGAAGTCGGAGAAGTGAAGAGAGACCGTACACCCTAAACTCTCAAGAAAGAAATAAATAGAAATTGCTTGTTGCTGTTGGCCATCTGGAAGTTCATTTTTTCGGTGGAGACGCACCTTTCCATTTTCGAACAGATCAATTTCCGAATAAACCAATTTCCGTTTCAGGGTTACCCACCCAGCCAGCCCAGCCCCAGCCCAGGCCCAGCCCAGCCCAGCACAGCCCCCCAGCCAGCCCAACCCAGCCCAACCCAGCCCAGCCACAGCCCAGCCCAGCAGCCCAGCCCACCCAGCCAGCCTAGCCTTGCAACCAGCCCAGCGCCAGCCTCAGATTCAAAATGTGGTTCCAAAAGAAAACCTCGGTCAAAACTTGGCCAAAACTTGGTCAAAACTCGGTCAAAACTTTGGCACCCAAACCCTTAACAATTTCTATAAACTAAACCCTAAACCCTAAACTAAACCCTAAACCCTAAACCCTCAAGACAGGATAAATAGAAATTGTATGCCGTGACAGCGCAGGTCCTGCTTGGCAGGCCCCAGCCCGCCAAAACCAAAAATGAAAAGGAAAAACTAATTTTTCTGCCAAAACCAGCCGCCCAGCCCCAGCCCAGCCGAGCCCAGCCCAGCCCAGCCCAGCCCAGCCCAGCCCAGCCCAGCCAGCCCACCGCCCGCCAGCCGGCCCAGTACCAGCCCGCCGCCAGCCGACCAGGCCAGGCAGCCCAAGCCCCAGCCCCCCTAAAACCAACAATGAAAAGCAAAAATTCGCTCAAAACTCCGGACCCAAACCCTATACAGTTTCTATAAACTAAACCCTAAACCCTAACTTTTAACAGAGCAGTGTGAGCCTAGGATCCTGAACGAAGCTCCACGCCTTGAAGTTCCTGAAAACCCTACTTGGAGGCTCATGGGTAGTTATAAGTATGGTTATAAGTCCCCTTTAAGGGTTCCTCTCAAGGGTTCTATAGGGTTTTTCAGGTTTAGGGTTTAGGGGTAGTTATAAGTCTGGTTGTAAGTCTTTTCATATGGATTATAACTATAGCTACCCTACTTAAAACCCTACTTATAACTACCCATGAACCTCCAAGTACAGGACATTATGGCCAAGGTGGAGAGCAAGGACGCAAGCTCATGCAGCCGGGTGATTTGGATTCTCATGTTGCTTTGACTTTTGTGCTGTGCATTTCTGGGCTAGGGTCGGATCCCGGGGCGTCTCAGAGGTAGGACTCCGCTGTCGCAGCCGGTGCGGCATGAAAGCTGTGAAATCTAAGCTTAGTATGTAGGTGGAGGTGGTAGGACTTCTGACACGCCGGAGCACATTACCTTTAAGTCGGCTGAACTCTGGAACCGCCCACGGTGTAGGGTTTCTGATTGCGGGAGTTTGAGTTCAGGACGCAGCGTTCATCCACAGCTTAGGCTTCAGGGCTTGGGGTCTCATGGGGCGCGGAAACAGCACACCTGTCTGAAGTCACTCTTCGAAGCTCTAAACTGATCTACATCCTCCTCCCCGGCTCCGAAGCCTTCTACTTTGCGCTCTAAACTCTAAACCCAGCACGCTGAAACTCGGGATTCCCCTGCATCCTACGACCCTCGGCTGGGCCATAAGCCGGAGGGCCCTGATACCGTGAAGCCCCAAGAAGGCCCAACACTCCAGACCCTTGAACTCCCTAAACCCTAAACCCAACGAACCCTTAAACCACCAACAAATCCTTGAGCTTTCAACCCCCTAAACCCTAAACCCTAAAGCCTAAACCCTAAACCCCAACCCCCCGGGAGCTTCGGCGAGGATAGGGAGATTGCGAGATTGCGCACCGAGCTCCTCCAGCTCCGGCAGGGCCCGCAAATCAAGTGAAACCGGCTGGAGGTGTAGGTGCCCAGTAGTTGAAGGTGGTATTGAGGTCCGCGTAGCCGTTGTTACCTTGGTAATAATATCATCTTCCATAAAGATATCGCCGGTATCGTCCCATCATGGTTTAAATGTTGGGCGGGCGCCTCATGTGTTTGTTTCTTGCATACCTTGACCTATCTGCAGGGGCCGCAGGCGCAGAAACAGAGACTCGTCGTGCCCGGTGGTTTGACATTTTTGACATGATACTCACCTCCACGCTGACAGGTGCCACATTGTCAAGCAATCTGTATAAGTATAGGATACTAACCAGAAAACCTTGTTATTCCATACACAGGGTACGACAGACCTCGGACGGACAATCTCTTCCCTTAAAATATTTCTCTCTTCTCTCTCTCTCTCTATATATATATATATGAAAATGAAATTTGATTATGTATTTTGAAATATTTTTTGATTTCTAAATATTTAGATATCAGGTATCTTGATTTTCTAAATTGGTATTTATTGTGATTTAACTAATTAGATGGGAGATTTCTAGATCTGTAATATTGTAATTGTTTTTATCTATTTTTCGTTCATATAAATTTTCTATATTTATATTTCTATAAAGAATTTTGTATCTTTTCTGATATTTGAGAAATTATTGTCGATTGAATCGCGAAAAAGAATCTAAAAAAAAATATGAAAATATAA